CCAGCCCCTCTTAGATACCGACACAGGGCACGTGGGGAGAATGTGGGTGGTTCATTTAGGTGAGTCTCATACTTTATGATTCTGATTCAAGTGCACTTAGTTCATTTTTTTTTTTTCCTCCTGGGACCTGCAGAAGCATGGGCTCCAATTATGTTGTCAAATTTTTTTTAATTTTATTTTTTTAGTCCGTTTGCGCAATCTAATTTGCAGTCAGTGCCTCAATAAGCTTTTTTTTTTTTTTTTAAAGGAAGTTTGAGTATAAAGTCCCTAACTGGAGACTATGAGAATTAGATTTACCTTGTCCTACGGACAGATTAGAAGAGGGACACAGACAAAATCGCCAGCATTGAGAATCCAGGGCGATAGAAATTAGATGGAGAGAAGACACGGGGGGCAAATAATTCCAAGAATGCTGATGGGATGGCAGAACTCCAGATGCCGTGTGGGGATGGGACCATGGAAAGGCAAAGTGGAAGTGAGATGAGTGAGGAGCTTATTGCTAGAGTCTCAGAGAAGAGTAGGAGAGCCTGGGACCAGGGTGGGTGCAGCGCAGGTTGGGAGAAATACCTGAATCGAAAGAACTTAATACACTGATGAACGGGATAGATTCAATGACATGGAAGCACAGATGAAGCCGTCACCTATTTCAAAGGGGGAGCTGGCGGGACTTAGCGTTGGGTTTGGTACAGAGAATGCAGACGTCTCTGTGCGAACAATGGGATGAAGGATGGTGCTATTTATTGAGGTGGAGAAAGAGCTCATTTGGGAGGAAATGGAGCATTCTGATTGGACGTGTCGTGGGCGAGACGCCTGTTAGATGTTCAAGCGATGGCTGTAGATAGGAGGCTGAGAGTCGAAGAGGGTGAGATGGGAGAAATAGCAAAAGCTATTTTGCTATGACATCCAAGACCTATTAGCCATAGTAAATTGGCATTAATTTAAAAAATTGGCGTTATTTTAATGTTACAAAGTATCAATGAAGCTTTTTTTTTTTTTTTAAAGAACCCTGGTGGCCCGGTGGTCCTCAGATATCCTGTAGGACGCAGTCACCTGTCACCATATCTTGGCACGCGGAGCCCACGGCTGCTTCTGTAGGTTCAAAACAGAGCCTGAGATCTTTGTCTCTTTCCTAAAAATCATGATGTGTTGGAGGGGTGCGTCTGTGGGTGCTGAAGGCCTCCTTGCCCACCGCTGGCATGCACGGAATAGAGGGAACTGGCAGGTGAATTCTGTGCCTTCTTTCTTCTGCCTTTGGTTTTTTTCCCGGGTTGGGGAGCACATGTCTCTGACTTTCCTTATAATAGAAACTCCTGGCTCAGATAAAGGCAGCAGAGAATAAATCGCTTCTATTTTACCCAGAAATCCCTTCCAGCGAGTCCCCCGCGGTGGGTCAGACCGAGTTCACGCCTTACCCGCCACCCTTTTTCTGCACGTTTCTGCCCTTTCAGGCTGAGCATCATTTTCCCCGGAAAATAATTCAACCGTGCTTGGCAGACGCGGACCCTTTCTCCGACTTGTCCCTCTTATTGTCTTTTTTTTTTTTTTTACGTCGTTCCATTTTAAAATACGCCGATGAGAAAATCTGGAAGCATTTTAGGACAGGCAAGGGAGCCGGAGACGTCCGCCGGCGATGGTATGCACCAACAAACCAAACCAGAAATACCCTCTCATTTTCAGAGCCGGTAGCCTGTGTTACCATTCGGTGTTTATCCTAGACAGGCTGGGGGGCAAGTTTCACATGGCACATTCCTAAAAGTCTGTTTCTCCTCAACTACAGATACATCCCCGCTAGCAAGCACTCCTCCCCTGGGATTTTCTGGCTACGAAAGTAGACATTTCCTGTGCTGACTTCTGTCTCTCTCTCTCTCTCCCTCCAGTTATTCTGGAATATTTAGGGGCAGCCGTCCCCCCGATCATGTGGGCTGGGCGACAGTGGGGAGCCCAGCCACCCGACTCACAAGTAACATGCACAATCCCCATTAAGCAAAGAGCCACGTGATTCCGTGGTACTCCACGGACGCCCTGGGAATACTCAGCTCTCTCACTGAAGGGTCTGAAAGCCTAAGAACAGCAGCTGTCAGAAGAAACAGGCCCTGTATCCCCAGAGATCCTGCCTCAGGGCAAATTTGGGTAATAGACTGAAAGCCGCAAGTATGCAATAGAAAATCATAGACTGTCGGTTCTCCAGGTCCTACGTATTAACTACAGATAGGATGCGGGGACTGTGTTCAGGGCTTGTATCTGCACCCTGATGTCACAACAGCCGTGAGAGGTGGGCATTGTTTTACATTTGATTTAAAAATAAAAAATTAAAAAAAAAAGCTGTGGTATGTCTATACCAGTGGAATACTATGCAGCTGTGAAAAAGGTGGATCTCTCACCCTTTGGGACAGCAGGGAGAGACCTGGAGAGTATTATGCTGAGTGAAATAAGCCAGGAGAGAAAGATAAGCATCCCCAAGATCTCACTCGTATGTGGAATCTAATGAACAAAATAAACGAACAAACAAAATAATCCAGAGACGTGGAAGCATGGAGCAGACGGAGGGATCTCAGAGGGAAGGGGGCAGGAGGGACTTCATGAAAGAAAGTGAATAAATTAGCTAAAAGAACCTATTATATACACAATTCATGGACACAGACAACTGTGTGGTGATGGCCAGGGAAGGTGGGGGCAGAGACTGGGTGGAGATGGGTAAAAGGGGGGGTGAGCTTTCATTGTCCCCATGTCCCTCAGGGGAAGTATGGTCAAGGGCAGGATTTGGAAGCTGGGAACTGATCTGGCAAACCTTGTTAAGATTTCCTTCTGGCCCGGCCCGGTGTGGCTCAGCGGCTGGGCATCGACCTAGGATCCAGGAGATCGTGGTTCGATTCCCAAGTCAGGGCCCAGGCCCAGGTTGTGGGCTCCATCCCCAGTTGGGGGCGTGCAGGGGGCAGCCGATCCGTGACTCTCTCTCATCATTGATGTTCCTCTCTCTCTCCCTCTCCTTTCCTCTCTCTGACATCAATAAAGACATATTAAAAATAAATAAATAAAAATATTTCCTTCCGGATGCCCAAGTTGAGAGAGTTGAAGATCAGGACCAGACACATCTTGCCCTGGCTGCTTTGGTTCAGTGGTTAGAGCGCTGACCCAGTGACCGAAGGGCCACAGGTTTCATTCTGGTCAAAGGCACGTACCTGGAGAGCCCATGGGGGCCGGGCCAGCACCGGGAGCCTTGGGGAGCCTTGGGGAGCCTGGGGGAGCCTTGCACGGAAGGACCTGGAAAGGGGCTGAGAGCAGGGGGCACAGCTGACCCACAAGGGGAGAGACTAGTTCGAGTTCGAGACTAGGTTGCAGGTTCAATCCCCGGCCCCTGTTGGGGTGCACGCTGGAGGCAATCAATCCATGTGTCTCTCCCACGTCGATGTTTTTCTCTCTCTCTCTCTCTCCCATTCCTTCCTCCCTCCCACTCTCTCCAAAACTCAAGGGTGAAAAAAAAGTTAAATTAAATTAATCAATGGGTTTCGGTCGTTCCAAGCGGGCAGCTAATAGCACTTACTGGAAACACATCAGTGCAGGGTGTGGGGAAATAATCCCGTAGAAGAAGTGAACTGGCTCGTTTGTGAACCCACTTCACAAACCGATCAGGGAGCCGGCGGAGCCACAGCGAGGGATTCCTGGACGCCTGGTGCGAAAAAGGAAAGCAGCCCACACTTTGTGCATCGGAAAGGACGCATCCACGGCTCATTCTAGGCCATCTCTTTTTTTTTTTTTTTTTTTTTTTTTTT